GTTGTTTTCCTTCCCTCAATTTGTTTTCTTTTCTTTTTTTGTAATTTAATTTCTTTTCAGTATCTACCAAGGTGTCATGTTTTGAATAAGCAATTTGTTGAACTAATCTGAGAAGAGAATTAGGAAGACAAGGGAGGAAATATAGGAATGAGGTGGAAATGGGAAAATTTCACAAGAAAATTACTTGCCTTCACCCCTAAAATGGTGACCATAATCAGATATCGCGACCTCTAAAAAGATAATTTTGCACTTACTCTCCTGAGAGCACCTTTAACATCCTTGTTCCGCAGACTATAAATGATGGGGTTCAACATTGGTGTTATTGCTGAGTAGAACACAGAGATCATTTTATCCCTTTCACTCATTTTCTTGGAGTTTGGCCTCATGTAAGCAAATATTGCTGAGCCATAGAAGAGAACAACGACAGTAAGGTGGGAACCACAGGTCGAGAAGACCTTGAGCCTCCCCTCCCCAGACTGCATCCGGATCACAGTGGAGATGATATTCCAGTAGGAGACAAGGACAAGGGAGACAGGAGCCAGGAGGATGACTATGCCCATTGCAAAGATGGCCATTTCTGTGTTGTAAGGGTCTGTTGAAGCCAGCTTCAGGAGGGTAGGAGGTTCACAAAAAAAATGATTGATGATGTTCTTTCCACGATAAGGCAGACACAATGTGAATGTAGTGTCCACCAGTGACACAAATGCTCCACTGGTCCAAGACCCTATAGCCAGCTGGACACATACCCAGTGTGTCATGATGCTGGAGTAGTGCAGGGGCTTGCACACAGCCACGTAGCGGTCATAGGACATCACTGCCAACAGAGCACACTCTGTACCCCCTAGCAAAAGAAAAACAAATATCTGTGTTGAACAACCAGCAAAGGAAATGGTTTTCTTCTTCACTAAGAAGTGGGCTAGAACCTGAGGGACTGTAGTAGTGGAAAAACAGAGATCAGCAAAGGACAAATTTCTAAGAAAAAAGTACATGGGTGTGTGCAGTCTGGAGTCAATGTGAATGAGCACAACAATCAGCAGGTTTCCCAGCACCGTCAGCAGGTAGATGATCAGAAAGAGGAAGAAGAGCAAGACTTGAGTCTGTGGATCCTGTGAAAGACCCAGGAAGACAAATTCAGTCACGTAGGTTTGGTTCTCCTCTCCCATGAATGTCTATTCCTGTGCATAGATTAGCATCAAGAAGGAAACAAATCAATCAGTTATTTATATAAAAAAAATCTGAGTAGCTTAGATATTTTCTTTTTAAAAAAGAGTTTTATTATTATTATTATTATTGTTCAATTTGACTAGAGAGAGACAGAGGGAAAGTGGAAGAAAAATAAAAGTCAACAGTTCCAGGACCAAAACCTCCAACAGGCATGTCAGAGTCCAGTGCCTTAAACACCACACCACCTGTTGACCCCACTTTGATATATTTTAATTAATATCAAAAATCAGACTCTGATTTCCATCTGTTACCACTTTCCATATGTCAAAAGACTTGAGTTTCTTTTTGGTCAGTAGTTCCCACAGTTGAAAGTCATTTCTGATTTTCTTTCCCCTTGAATCCTTTAGTAATACCAGTGAGGGAGAAATCATCCTCAGCAAGCTACTTGGTCTTCAGTAGGATTACCTACTGATTTATAGTCCTCAGAAGGCTATAGAGCTGTTTGTAGTGAAGTCTTCCTTATAGGTATGTTTGGGAAGCCAATAAATTCATGTTGCATTGAACCAGATTTTTATAAGGCACCTAGGCATATTATGAAAGCTGATTTTAAAAATATATAAAAAATATTCTAAAAAAGCACTCTGAGTTTTTTTTGGAGAGTTAAGGTAAAAGAGGATTTAGTAGCCAGGGATCTTGCCCTTTGTCCAAATACTTCTTCCATCATTTTTACCATAAACAGCGAACAGAGGACCCTCAATTTGAAAACTTCCCTATTGGTAGTTGCACTCAGTAGCACCTTTCAAATAGTCTCTAATGTGTTTCCTGTACTCCCCCTTTTTAAAAAACTCTCTTTGCTTAAGATTCTTTGGCAATGACAGTTATTGTCAGACATTGGGCATCTGCCTGGTGACAGTCCTTGTTAATAGTTTCTTTACATTCCCTTTGGGAAAAATCATCCTTCAGTCCAGATGTTGTTATTATCTCCATTATACAGTTAATAAAACAAAAACTCAGAGAAATTCTTGGACTGGTTTCTGTGAGCCCTGCTCATTGTTTCTGTCTCCCTTTTATTTTTCCTGCTTTAAAAACTTTCTTTAAAGAAGGTTGAACTTCTGCATAATTTTATCTACTTATCACATCCATTTTTTGAAGATAAACCCACAAACCTTCCCTAATTCCAGGGTTTTAAAACTAATTTGTTATGACAGATTTATTCATAGGCATAAAAATAGCAGTCAAGCATATTTTAATAGTTATTTTCCACATTTCAGGGGGACTTGCCAAAAGGGCAATAGGAAATATTACAAGAACAAAAATTTAAAAATGTAAACAGTTTTGCAGAAAATTTTTACATCTTTAAAAACTCAAAAAGCCAGTACCAGTCTATGATAACTGGTCAGAACCGTAGTCTGATACAAGATGAGTGATTGAACTTTCTTATGCTATTATAAACCAAAAATAACCAAATAGAAATGACAGTAAAAAAACCAAATGACTTCTTCACAATAGGCACTTTGGTTAAATTTAAAACAGTAGTTAAGACACATTCATGACTTATTTGAAGGAAACTATGAAAAATGATATCTGCATATAAGTGGATATGTGATTTCTGTATATAAATCAATTTTTTAATTTCAATGTATCTTTATACATTCAATCACTATACATCACTTAGCTTGTAAAGTGAATTTATCCAAGATGAACACACTATACCATTCCAGTTGAAGATACTATACACATTTTCATCAACAGATAATCCATTTCTGTGTCACATAAATGTCTTGCATCTCTATTTTTCTAATTAATTTCTTTCCTCACACTTTCTCCCTTCTCTCACTCTCTTCCCCTATGGTCTCCACTCTCTTATAACAGTTTTCATGCTTCTATATCTTCTAAGCTTTCTATTTTCTCCATAGAGTGCAGTCAGTATGTATTAAGTGGAGACATTGATATAAATCAATTTTGTAGATAGAGCAATAAAATCTTACCATAGGGCAGGCACCACCATGCCCAAGCAATAAAATCTTATAAACTAATTCACTGAAGTTCCAACCAAGTTTACAGAGATTTTCTGTAGTGGAATTTAGCACCATTATTCTAAATTTCATCTAGGTGAGTAATTAACAATATAAATTATGATGTAGAAAAGTAAGAGGTTAGAGGAAAACATATCATACCTGATACAGGATATATTATCATTTATCCCTCATTCATATAGTGTATACTGAGTGGAACAGAAAATATGACCAATATAGCCCAGCCTGTGTGGCACAGATGGTAGCTTACCAGACTGTAGAACTGGAAGCCACATACTGACCATAGTTTGAATCCACAGGATAGTCAGTCTGAAAACATACCAGACACAGGTGTTTGTGCCCAGAAACCCTTGAAAGCCAGGAGACTGGAGGAAGAGAATCATGGCATAACTGAGCAAACCAATATGCACATTAAAACAATAAATAAGATATCGTGTTTTTTTTCTTTTAGATAAAATGTAAAAGTTTGTTAACTTCCATGTTTGAAGATACAGCAAGCTCGTTAAGTGAAAAGCAAGTCATCATATTTCCTATGTGATGTATTATTTTAATCTTTCAAATGCATTGTGAATGGATTTGTGTATTTATTTATTTGTGGTATGTTTACATTTCTATGAACTATCCTCTGAATTGAGAGTCTGCTGTTTAAGGGGCACTATCAGCTCTAAGGGGGCAGTATAGCTCATTGATTACCACTGAGGCCTCTGAAGTGACACTGGTGGGTCTGAGGCCTAGCTTCTCTAGATGATGTGTGACTCACAGAAAATTACTTAGATTTTTTGTGCTTGGCATTCCTCATTTGTAAAATAGTGATATAAATAACACATTTCTAATAGTGTTTATGTAAAGATTAAATAACACAAATCGTTTAAAGAATTTAGGATAATAAACAAGTCCAGCTCATACTATTATTTAATATACACTATAATGATCAAATTGCAATTTAGAGTAACTCTAAGATTAGGAAAATAGTTAAGGTTACACATAGTAACACATAACTGTTGTGTGTATTCTATACAATAAATGCTATAAGAGAAAGAATAAAAACATGAATTGACCATTCACAATAAATTTTAATCTCAGTAAAATTTAGCAAAAGTAAATTAAAACTAGATCTCTCTTTTTCTCAACAGATCACATAAACTTATATATTTTTAAATTATTTATACAACTTTACTTATTATTATTGCTATATTTTAATTTTGTTATAGGGCACATATGCTCACTAAAGAGAGGCACTGAAGCTAGGGAGAGAAAGCAAATCTCTAGGTCCAGAACTCGAACTGCTGTTAGCCATGTGGTAGTCCAGTGCCTTAACCATCATGCCACCTGCTGGCCCCCATAATATTTTAGATTTATGATATTCATTGGTGATATGGTTTTGTCTTACTGGAAATACAAAAGATTAAAACTATGTGAGCGTTAAGCTGTCAATATATAGATAATACATTAAAAATTAATAATACATTTTGATAATGTAAATTGTCTCAATATTTTGTAATAAAATATTTTGTTAAAAGCAATATGGGTTGGGACCAGCAGTTAGCATAATGGCTATGTCGCTGGACTCCCATGTAGTCCACCACGGTTCGAGTCCTGGACCCGGTGGCTTAAACTCACGCCGGGCGCGTGTGTGTGAGTGCCCAAGAAACCAGGAGGAGAATGGAGGAGAAGGGATTGCGGCATGGCCATCCCCCCGGGGGATGATTTCTTGCTTTCTGTCTCTCTGTTTCTCTCTCTCTGTCTGGCGAGTGCACGCACCCTATAGCAAAAAACCTCTCCCCAAAAAAAAGCAATATGGGTAAATCTATAAGAATATCTATTACAGTGCTACTATAATTATAAAACTTTTAAAAAGTCAAATAGCCTTAAATAAATATAAAACATCCAAATGAAGGAATACAGTACAGACACTTAAAAAGTCAAATATTTTATGACATCGAAAAACGTTTCTAAAGAGCAATGTATTATCATAATGGATTAGAACAAAGCTGGAGACATCACACTACCTTACATTGAAATGTACACAAAACTAATAGTAACCAAGAAACCATGGTACTGATAGAAAAACAGACACGTAGAGCAATGGAACAGAATAGCAAACCCACAAATAAACCCATATATACACAGCACTGATTTCCATAACGGTGCCAAGAACATTCAGTGGAAAGTGAAGAGTCTCTTTAACAAATGGTGCTGGTAAAATTGAATATTCATAGGTAGAAGAAGAATAAAATTAGCCCTCTCTCTCATCAATTACGAAAATAAAATGGATCAAAGATTTCAAAATTAGACCCAAACTATGAAATTACTAGACAAAAACATAGGGGAAACAATTCAGGACATTGGTCTGGTCAAACAGTTTTTTAATAAAATCTAAAGTGCACAGGCAACAAAACCAAAATAGAAAAATGATACTATTTCAAACTAAAAATTTCATCCACGGCAAAGGAAACAATCTATAGAGTGAAGAGACAGACCACGAAATGGGAGAAAATATTTACAAATTACACATCTAACAAGGAATTAATAACCAAGGTATATGAGGAGCTCAAAAAGCTCAAGCAGCCAGAAGAAAAAATGATTTAAAAATTAGCATCTGTAATGAATAGATAATTCTCAAAAAAGTACAAAATGTTCAAAAGAATAAGAAAAAATGTTCAATAGCACTAATCATCAGGAAAATGCAAATCAAAACATCAGGTTCCATTGGCCATTATAAAAAAGACAAAATATGTAACAAATGCTAGAAAAGAAGCAGAGAAAGAGGAACTCTTACATTGTTGGTGGGAATTGAAATTAATATGTCTATTATGGAAAACAGTATTGAGTTTCACAAAAAACTAAAAATTTGATTGCCATGTGATTCACCCATTCTACTACTAGGCATACATCCAAAGGAAGGGAAGTCAGCATGTTAAAGTATATCAGCATGACTGTATTAGCAAGTTTATTGCAGCATT